CCAGCTAAGGTCGTGACAGTATGTCATTGATTCATCAATATGCTGATGATTGTAGGTTGATTGTCATGAGTTTAAGAGAGTTTAAAAGATTGTGAGAGTAAAATGGATTGAAATAAGAGGGAGGAAAGGGTTTAAAAACCCTTGAGGAGGCCTCCAACGGTAATGTTACAACTGATACCGGTCGGTTTCAACCGTTACTGCTCGGTACAACCCTATATCGCTCGATACGGGGCCAAATTGTTGGTATTGCCTGATAGCGGGTAGTACGGTACAGTCTTGCAATCCTTGGTCCACATACAAGCTTTTGTATGAGTATTGAATTCTTCGAGTTAGTAATTCCCCTTACCTCTATGAGCTTTGTATAACTCTTTCAATTGCAGAGCACCGTCAAGTTTGGTTGCCAACGTAGCTTGAACATAGCTATCCCAAAATCACTTATAGTTTTAACTTGGGATCCTATAAGCAGACATTTCGGCAAACACTTGATAGACTGTATAAATTACAAATACAGACTTTGCAAGCTCTGGACGGTCGCGTGACAAAGGGTCCAAGAAGGTCCGTCACGGTCAGGAGTTCCCACAAGTGCTCATATGACATTGTTGCGGAATAAGACAACGAACTAATCCTAGATAATACCCCAAAGGCCCATTCAGCCATGTGCCACCCAGGTAGCTCCAGGGTGCTGTACTAGCTAATACTCTGCACCACTTTGCGAAGCTAGAAAACCCTCAAAATGATTGTCTGGATGGCTTGTTTTTAAGTTATTTTGTCTCTATGCGATGAGTGCATACAACTTACATTTACAGGACTAATATTACCACAAAAGCTAACCAAAATAGGGTTGCCAAGCTTATTGTAAGCCCTCTACATGCTATGCAAAGTTTGAACAAAACCGAAAGACACAGACATACATAATCATTACATCGAATATCCTGTGTACATATTTATCCATGACAATATGGTACAAAGCGACATGTCTTTTGAGCACACCAAAATTGTGTCCTTGAAGGGAAAGCATCTCTGTCTGCAAATGGGCATGATCTCAAAATAATCCCAAAGGCATGATGAAAGCTATCAGATAAGTGCTCTACAAGTGCGAAACCCATCTTAGGTTTGAGCAGCACTTCCATAAGTGCAATCATGAAGAGTGGATGAAGTGAAATAACCAGTTTTGACCAAAGAGTATAACTTGACGAATTTGGGTGAAGCTAATCAAAGCAACCTAACTCTCTTCACCTATGCAATGAAACTCTGCATCAATGGGAAGTCCATTTAAAGTACTTAAATGACAACAACCATCAAGTCCTCACCTTTGGGTGATTGGGTATGCCGAAGGTAGTACATCCATGTACTATCCTCTATTCGAGTTACTTCAAAAATGGGGATAGTGTGGACCTACTTGGAGGAGATGGTAAAGAATCCAAAGACGCAAAGGGCAAACTTTGTGAAAGGCCACAAACTCTTGTGAAATAATGCTGGCAAAGCTCCAACCAGCAACATTCAATCTCTTGTAGGGTGACACTTCAAAAGGGCTTGAACGCAAGCATGAAGGCTCCTCTTGTTGACCAACATGAAGTGTTCAAAATCTGCCAACCTCCCCAATTGAACCTATTCAATGGCGAGTTAAAACAAGATGGGGTATCAAAGTCACTGACACATTAATAGAAGTCAAGAAGCATGTTGTAGCAAAAGATGATCAAGTTGTAGTATTCGCAAAGGCTTTGATGAGGGTGTTGAAGGAATAACTGGGGGAAAATTTCACAATGTGTTGAAGTCAATGTGTTTAACATGTCTGTGATGCTGTTTTATTTTGTTTTCTCATTGTTTTTTGGTGTTTCCACTTTCCACACATTTTCTCTTAGGCAGATTTTACAAAGCAATTACTACTATCGGTCCCACTTTACTTTGTTGAAATATCTTTTTTTATGTTTCTGTCTTGTTAAATTCAAAAATGTTTCTGCCTATGTGATGTCTTGTGTGGAGAAAATAGCCAAAATAGCCCTGTTCTTATATACCTAGGGTTGGCTGTAGCCTTGTGGTACAAAATGTCTGTTGTCTCATAATCGTAGATCCCTAGATGAACTATCGATTGTATATTTGAGGGATGGTGCAACATCTTTAGTGTGTCCGCATTTTTATTAAAAAAAATGCGGCGTGAAGTGGTGAACATTAGCTCTACATCTGCCTTTGAAATGTCATTGAGTAGCGACCATTCAGCTCCTTTAAGAGAACTTTTTGTGCCTAATAAAATCTAGTTGCCTTTTGTTGCTTGTGATCTCGATTATCTTACCTTTTTTGTCTGATAATAGTATGTTGTCCATGCATTAGCTTTTGTAACTTTTTTCTAGGCTGACGTACCACTTGCAGAAAAATACCACTTGGGTGCTGTATGCCCTAGGCAATCCAGCTAGGGACGTGACAGTAAGCTAGTGTCATTTAACTTTATATTTAAAAGCTTGACTTGCATGATTAATTTTGGGTTGCTAGGCCTTGGTTTCTTGGAGAAACTCTTACAAGTGTCCTTTCTGTGTGGATCAGATCGTGTTATTTCTCCAATCCTTCCAAGTGGAGACAAATTAATTACTTCTTAGTATCTATCCTTTATCAATTAGTTGGCATGAATTTCTCTATCTTCAATTACAAAATAATTTTAATAAAATACAGTTGTATCAATATTTTACTGCTTTTGGAAAATGCAACACTTAAAATGGATACCATACAATTGATTTTTCTGATAAGTTAAGCTACCATTCATCATAATTAGAGTATCCTATTTTTTTCAATAACTTTTATATAGTGAGTTTAGTCGCATGAATGAAAGATGCTTGAAGTAAATAAAACCATTCCAAGGTTTTGATGTGCGACCTATCTAGGAAAACTGACCCTCTCAATGTGCAATAGGTAGTCACCATCTTGCTGCATGTTTGTCCACATTGAAGACATTTATAATTGTTTTGATTTCAAATCTCAGTTCATGCAAATCTTGATGTTCAAAAGTATGAATATTTTCTGTATCATCCCAATTTTACCAAATGTCTCATACTGAACAGGATCATATTAAATAGTATCTGAAAGATATGACATGGGCATAATGCTGTAGAGCTATATAAGCTATAAAAAAATGTGTAAGATGCTGATATCCTTAATTTGGTAGTGTGGTTCAGTATTTTAAATTCGTTTATTTGTTCTTGCCTTCTTAATAGGATTAGAAAGGACAAAAATATGATGTGTCAATCATGAAGTGGAATATTTAATAAGGTCAATATCTAGTTCTGCCATTTCTAATGCCAATGAATGTCTCCTATGATAAGAATATTTTATAGAATTATAACCTATTATGATAATAGGGATTATAATATAAGATCTCTTCTGGTGAATCCTTAGCTTGCATATTTCAAAATACCTCTTGCCAACTTGTTTTTTCAACTTATCATAAAACTAGATATCATATTTTTCTTTCACTTTTAGTCTATTCCATTTCATGTAGTTTCAAGTGCTATACTTATCTTATTCTTAAGATGCTGATCCACTAACATCTTCTCTCTTACTCCTGATGTTTATGATACATAGAAAAAACCAAGTAGATGATAAGTAAATAATTGTATGCCTCTCAAGACTTTCTATGCTTCGTGTATTTCTGTGTGCAAGTTTGTTAAATAAATTGCTGATTTTGTTTATGCCACAGGGTTGCTTTCTTCCATCAAATGGTGTTGCTGCCGTATTATCTTCTCATTGTCCATCTAATGTTAAATCTGGTAATGACTGTGGTATTGACCAATCAAATGGTGGCTATCTTCAAGCAGCTAAAGATCAAGATATCACACCAGCGTCATTCAGGGCAGAGAATCTAACTCAAGTTGGAGAATTTGACATGAATGATATGGTTCTCAGCGAAAACACGACTACATGTACAAATGATATCCTTCTTGGTGAGAACAGTTTTGGAAGCTGGAACTACATAAATGATTATTCTCTTGGTTCATTAGATGATCGTCAGCTTCTGGCTTCAAGTTCAAGGGGTGATGAGGCTATGGCAACATCAATGGGAGATCATGTTTTCAATATAACTGAAATCTCGCCTGGGTGGTCTTATTCTACAGAGGAAACCAAGGTTTTTTTAATTATCTAGCACCTTTATTTTCAAGCACCTCTTTGCATCTGATCCCTTTCGCCCTTAAAAATTTTTAGATGACAAAGTTACCTACTCATAATGGCTAACTAGATAAATAAGTTATTTGATTTGATTGGACCAAGAATTTACAAAATATTCATTGGTACGTATCTACTAGAATTTACCAATCCAGTCAAGTACAAATATTGAAAAGTATAGCTTGATATATGTACATTTACCATTTGCTTTTAATTCTTTTGTTATTTGATATTGGATGATACATGGTGTACTACTTGGTTAACCGGTACTATACCAATTCGATAGGTTACCAAAACCTAAACTGGTTGATAAGTTCTTGGTTTGAACCAAGGAATGCAATTTTGATTATTGGACCTCCAGTCTATGGCCGAACTAGTATGGTTCTGATCCATTCTGGTGTATCATGTGTTAGTATGTCGAAATGTACTATAGTTCTGTTGAGGTAGGGAGAGAAGGTTAGGAAGAAGGGGAAAAAAAGAAGAGGAAGAAGAATGAAGAAGAGGCTTGGAGGAGAAAGAAGTATACTAGTGTGGGTGGTGTGCTCCTAGGTAGTGGCAGGCAACAAGCATACAGGCTACCAGTGACGACCAATGAGTGACTCCTTGTGAGGAATCATGTCATGAGCCAAGCCCTAGGATGAGAAAGAAAAAAAAGGTTTTGTATATAGTGAACCAGACTAGATCTAAGCTCCTTAATGTACTGGTCGATGATCGAACCAGTAAATTCTGACCAAACCATACCAAATCACTCAGTTTTGCTATCCCTGGTTTCAACCATCAAATTAGTAGTTTAATAAAATATACCATTTTAATGCACATCAATATTTTTATGTTCGAACAAAAACTAATTATTTTAATCGATGTGGATTGTGAAGGTCAAGCAACCATCAATAGACAAAATATACTCTTAAAAAAAAGTAACAACCATTAGATCCTTATAACTATTTTATTTCTTATATTTTTTGTTCCATGAGATTATGTTACTTGAAAAGCAAAGTGGTCTGTGATGATGTGGACCAACTTCACTCACAACCATTGGATGATGTGGTATGTGAGAGGACCCACACAACAATTTTCTTCAAGGTGCAAATCCTTCATATTATAGCCACCATTCAATTAAAATATATAATTAAAAATATATTTTTTTAATTTTGTATGTCAGATACAAAAAGGGTCTATATATTGACCAAAAAATGTTGTCACTGATAATAACAGAAAGCCCCTGAAACTCTATGTTAGGTCACCGTCCGATTAAGCCACAAAAAGTTTGTTGTTATTGGTCAAAACTTGACTTCATAATGGCAGCATCGATATTTAATGGTATCTGAATCTAATCTATTGATGACACCATGAAGGGTATGACTTTATTTGGACTGATGAAGTGGGAGTTCTCCAGGACCTCTCAAATAAATTGTCGGATGATGGATTGTTTCAAAACTCATCTTTGCTTTTGATTATCTTGATGCTTTCTCGGGGCGATACCAGGTAAGTAATTATCAATGCAAAGCAAATAGCCAAAGAATCAGAATTAGTGGGGGCCCTGCAATAAGCAAATGGTAGTGGCCACATCGAAAAGCTGTAGTCTGAGTGACAGAAGATCAAATGGGAAATGCTTCCTGTGTCTATCAAATGATAGACAACTTTGAATCCAAGAGGGACTCGGTCACTAAAGAACTTAGTCAAGAAAGCATCGGACTAAAAGTTCTATTTTTCTATTGTTTTTTGGTTTTTTTCATACATTTTCTCATAGGTAGCTTGTATAAGGCAAGAAGTACTATCGTCAGCCCAATTTTGATTTGTTGTCAATGTTTTTGTTTTCTGTTTCTTCTACTTGTATTTAATCTCCAAAAGGGGAAAATCGTCAAAACCACCCTATTCTCTTGTGTGCCATTGGTTAATTTTTTGGCTGAAACATAAGCTCCCTCACCACCCTCGAACCTCTAGAGGACACCGGACCAAAAGTGGACATTGGGTCAAAAGTGCTAGGTGAACATTGGGCTTGCACTTGCCTTTGGGACAATCATTTAGCCCGTTTGCTAGAAAAAGTTGTTTAGTTTCAAAGACGAGTAGCGAACAAGTCTCGATGTCTCACCCATAAACACAACACTCAAGTAATTTTGCAAACAGTTGTAGTGCAAATGGAAAATAAGGACTTTGGAAGGGAAAAGATAGCTGTAAGTCCGCAATGGTTGTTCCATCGGATGTTGGGGTATTAGTCAAGCCTATGCACACTTTGTTCACAAGCTTGTGTATCCAAATAGGGCCCAACACTACCCTAAAGCCTCATCTAGCTCTATTCCACCCGAGGTTTCCGAGGGTCTGAGATGGCTAACGTTGTGCACCACACTATTAGCTTGAGAAATTAGGCTACGACACCCAAAAACGAGATGGTTTTGACCTAGTATTATTGAGTTCGACGAACGATTGATGTGTAGCCTTACAAACTACCTAGGCTTACAAAACTAAGGACAAAATGCAATGTCAAATAACTGTATAAGCAATCATAAGTAACGAATGGTCCATTTACGAAGGTGTTGCCGGCTCACGACGGTCGTCCATGATATTCTCCCCCTCTCAATCCATTGATCCCCTCATTGACAATTGCTGGTAGGCTTTGACATAGGGTGTTTTCTAGCTCTCAACCAGCTTTTGTTTGCTACTTCACCAAGTACTCGATTTACTTCGCTCCGTTGGGTAGCTTTGCCATGTGATCTGCTAGAATGACTTGAACTTGCTTTTCATAAGATGCTCGAGTGTTGTGGTCGAGTTGATACATTTTTTAAAGCATCTTGCAGATCCGAGTGGTAGGCTCTCAACTTGCGCACATGGAATACATTGTGAACCACATCGAAAGTTGCAACTTGTAAGAGACACTATTAAACTTGCCGATGATTGAGAAGGGATCTTCATATTTTTGCATCAGTCCTTTGTGCAGTTTTTACCTAAAGAACTGACAAGATGTTGGTTGGATCTTCACAAACACCAAGTCGCCAACTTTGAATTCTAGTGGTTGCCTTCCCAAATTTGCCCATTTCTTCATCTTCTTGACTGCCTCCTCCAAGTATGCCAATATTTGTATTTTGGTGTTATTCCTTTGCAAAGTGATGTCCTAATGGGTTACTTCCAATATAATCGATCGCCAACGCTCAAGAGCTTCACTCAATCTCATAGGTTGACACTCAAATAATGCTAGAGATATTGCTCTAGGTTTAAGCTTATTCGTTAAGTTTGGCCATTCGTTTAGGAGGTAGAGACTTGTGGAGAAGTATAACCTAGATCATAACAACTTAAAGTCTTAAACAACTCGGTTTGATTCCATTCCAAGAATTGTGCATCTCGATCAATGATAATATTGTGCCTTCTTCACATTCTTCATCATTAGCTTGGGTGCCTCTGATACTAAGTAGTGTAGGGGAGTAGCAACAAGTGTTGCATACTTCAAGCATAAGTATCGATCCAAGTCCCCTTATTGTAGGCAAGTTTGATATGAAGTCCAAGAAAATGCTCTCTAGTATAGGCAAGGGCTCTAAAAGACCCACCTGCTTTCATTGCTCCACCTTGTCTTGTTAACATATGAGTCACATCTGAAGATATTCCTCCACATCAGTCCTAGGCAAGTTTTGACTTTTCGTGCCGATCAGCCATGTCAGTTGACCAACGGCACGAAACGTACCACTCCATACCAGCATACCATGGGTCAATATGTCAGAGCGTGCCGATGGTCCTTAAAAAAACCTATAAAATCTTAAAAAATACCTGAACATTAGAAAAAGCATAAATTAGGTTTTTTAATTGGAACTAAATGTAAATTTAGTTTCATTTCATTAAACAATATATAAATAAAGAAGATGAAGGGATAGCGGATTTATTTTTATTTTTTTCGGATTTGAGGATACAATTCATCCCTCATCCCTGATCTTGGAAAGAAAGTTGGATTGTAATTATTGCTTGGCCTCTGCCTTCTTGTTGGATTGTATTCACCAACTCCAATTTTTTGCTAAAGGTATTGGCCATGATGTTTGCTTATCCGGGCTTGTACTCTATTACAATGTCAAATTCAACAAAAAAAAAGTGTTACTATCATGCTTGCTTTGCAAAGAGCTTCTTCTGAGTCTAGAAATAACTCACGCGATATTGTCCATCCTTAGCACAAATTGCATTTCGAGAAGGTAGTGCCTCCACACTAGTAAATGATGCACAACCACTCTCATCTCCTTGTGCACAAGATATCATCACTCAATCTCATTGAACTTATAGGTCACGACTTCAAAGGCTTCCCATGGTTTGGTATTCTGAACACTAGTTCTTAGAACATAGTAGCCTTCAGATCTTGGAGTGTTGCTCAGTTTTTTGACCATTATCAAGGGTATCCCTTTACAACTCTATTAGTGAAGTTGCATGCTTCGAGTACCCTGAGATGAAGTGCTAATAATAGTTGACGAAACCAAATAAAGATCTAAACTAAAGCACCTTCTTTGATATTCGTCATTCCACCACAGCTTGCACCTTCGACTTGCCTATCCGAATTGACCCTCAACCAACTTAGTGCCCAAAGAATAGAATTTTTATCTGTGCAAAGGAGCGCTTCTCTCTTTTCATAAACAAAGTAGTTTTTCGGAAAATCTTGAATGCGTATAATGGTGCTTGATATGCTCCTCGAGAGTTTGGTTATAAATGATAATATCATTTAGAGTTTATAATATTATCTAAATAGGTGACCAATCGAAGATGCTTGACGTGCTCCTCGAGAGTTTGGTTGTAAACGACAATATCATCTAGATTGGTGACCATGAACTTGTCTAGGTACTTCTTAAATAGTTGGCTTGTTAGAGTGCAGAACATGGCTAGAGCGTTGGTGAAGCCAAAAGGCATCATTAAGAACTTGAACGCTTCGTACTTGGTCACACATATAGTCTTTTGGTTGTAAACAACAATATCATCTAGATTGGCGACCACGAACTT